AGAGATTCTACCATCAGTCTATGGTGTTCGTTCTCCGAGGATCGTCGCGAGTATCTTCACCAAATTCGCGACGCTCTTAGAGTAGCCGAGTCACACTATCACAGCAATGATCCATTGAGCCCGTTTTTTTCAGCCGCACAGCATCTGCGTGCACCCTGCACGCGGCTATGCACTCGATCGTTTAGCAGGTATGTCGCAGTCACACCATGCATATCGTGCTGCAAATGTAACATCTGAAGAAGCAAAAGACGGAATAAAATGGTCCGATTGACGTGTTGAAATCGCCATGTAGTTTTCTAGTTTAACACATGTTGGATGCCTGATGTTGACACAGGCTTGTTACGCGGCTACGACAGGTACTGGACACCCTCCGAGCATACTGCTGCTCCTACTTTCCTCCGTTGGCTATTTTTTATTGCACGTTCTGCTGGATCCAGTACCAGATTCTCTCAATGTACTCCTTGTCCAGGGGCTTGACGTCCCTCAGCGCCGGTACGCACTTGCTCGTCTCCGCTGTTGAGAACTGCGGTCTTGAAGTACTATACTCTATACCGTTTCCGTACGACTCTTTCCACAATCCTAGTAACTTCAGCGCAGAGTGATTCGAGTCACCAGCCTGCTCTAATCGCTCCACCCACTCCTTGGGCGTAACAATTTCGAACCGTTCCTTCTTCTGCAGCCACTGCAACATCTGGTTCCAGTCGGGTTCCTGATGCGGATTCAATACATGGAACACTGGCATGTCCTCTCCCCCCTTGATTGGACCAGTGGCCTCAAGGAACGCTTTCGCAGCAATATTGACAGGTAGCCAGTCTAGAGGCTCGCTTCCAAGATCGGGCAAACATTTAATGAGCTTCGCAGTACTCAACATCATAGGCCAGGCTTCCTTCGTGTTCCATACCCCTGACATCGAATCACCAGCAAGCTGACCCACACGGACAACTGCGATACGTCCGCGAAGACTCGTCCGATTATGCGCTTCAAGGCAGATATGCTCTGCAACCCATTTCGAACGCGAATAACCCAGCGGAGACGCAGAAGAAGGCTCCGATGACAGTCGCTCGGGTAGCTCACCCGATGCGTCGAGAGAGCCGTTCATGATGGCCGCAGTGGAAGAACAGTATGTGAAGCGCGGAGGCTGCGATTGTGGTGACTTCAGGGCGAGATCGAGCAAGTTTCTCACACCGGCTATGTTGTCTTTCTCAAAACTGCGCAACTTGAGACGGAAGTTGACAGTCCAAGCAACGTGGACGATTGAAGTTACTCTCTGCGCAAGGAACTCGTACACTTCGTCGCTAAGCCCCAGACGTTTTTCTCCTAGTTGAGACGTCACGATTTTGATCTTACTATTGGGGGACCCCAATGACAACAGGTTAACCAATCCACGCTGCTCTAGTGCTTTGCTCACACGTTCCCTTGCTGCATGCCCATCTACCCCTCTGACAAGGCAATAGACAGCCTCAACATCGGATGTCTTTTGCAGCAGGTCTAGAATATGTGCACCCAAAGCACCGGTAGCTCCTGTAAGTACTACCACTTCGCTGCCTCTCTTGTCTCCAATCGACCCATTTGTGGTGGCAGTTTGCTGTGGTATCGTCTTGAACGAGCTGTATTGCTCTACCAGGTCCAGCATCAACTTCTCTTCGTCTTCACCATCGGAGTCGATCTGGCCATGCCTCTTTCGTAAGACGTAATCTGCCAGTCTTCGTATAGTACCACAGTCTTCGACGACGCTCATTGGAAGCTGCCCTTCAAAGTTGGGTATCAAGCGTCTCAAGCGCGTTCTCAACTGCATGCACGCAATAGAATCCACCCCATAGGAAAACAAGTCCATGTCTTCGTTTAATCCTGCCGTCTGTCCTGTCATACTTTGGATGAGACTAACCAGATGCTGGGGCAAATCTTTGTCACTGACTTCAGGTGATGACTCGGAGTCTTGAGATTTGTATGCGTAATTGATGATGTCTTCGAATCGAGATTCTGCCGCTCTGCGGATGATCGTCCCCTTGCTACTCTTCTCGAGCGGCTCGTCTTGATGGGATAGGGGAATCAGCATGTCAAAGGGTATTCTAGCATGGTCTTGACTCTCGCTGTTCAATTTCTCGACTTGACTCTTGATACATTCAAGAAGCTCTTGGTCTGACATGCTGCTCGCCTCCTGTGATCGCAGAAGGAGAGCACCTGGGAAAGGTCGGTTGTTGCCGAATATCAACACATCGTCGAGGTAAGGCGACGTCGCGATAGCGTCTTCCAAGGGTGCTGGGTCGAATTTCTTTCCTGTTATTAGTGTGAGCTGTGAGTCTGCTCGCGAATGATACAGCCATGCGTCTTTAATCGTTGGGTGTGCCGCGAATAAGTCGGCAGTGGCGAACGAACCGTCTGGTCGATTCTGTTTCGCCTATACCAAAGTCAGTGAAGGATTCTGTCTTTTCATTTCGTAATAGGTACCATGTGCGGCCATCCCGGCTTGATGATCAGTTCAGCTAGATCATCTTCACGCCTCTCAAACTCTATCAGGTTTCGTGGGTTGTAGTTTCGAAGATACTGCCAGTCATTATCGGAGGCAAAATTTCGATACGACGATAGAACGAAGCCACACTCTGCACTCCCAAATCTTGAGATGAGGTTTACTCGATTCTTCACCAACCGATCGCCGACTTCTGCTGGCAACGCAGCCCCTCCAACACCCACGATGTCCATGCTCTGAAGCAATTGAAGACCTTTTCCATCTGCCTCCATCATCTGGAGAACATACGGTACCGACGAGAAATATCCGGCCTTAGGCAGTCCCTCAGTCGCCGCGTATGAACTAGCTACATCCAGGCAACTGCAGATATTGCGTGCTGTTATGGGCATATCTTTGCTTGGGAAAAGCCAGATCATAGCATTGCTTGTCCAGCATCGGAAGAGATCTGCGATGCCACCATGATAAAGTGGCGTTGTGGTGAACGACGCTAAGGAGGGGATTCTAGGGAGATGTGGAAGCACGCCAATAGCGGCGCGATGAGACTGTGGTATAGGCTTCGGTAGACCTGAAGAGGTTCCAGATGTATGATGGAGATACGCGATTGCTCTTTCATCTACGTGAAGAGGTTCGATGCTGGTTCCTGGCGAAGTCTGGATGACTTCAAAGATGTCTTCTGTATCGCTCATAGGCAGCAGGCGTACTTCTAGCCCAGAAGTTCCCTGCTCTTTTGCCAGATTCTTTGTCTCTTGCGCTCGTTCTGCATGAGCAGCATCGTAGAAGAAATCAGAAACTTCGCACGATGTACAGAGATGTAGTATGGCAGCTGCTTGACATTGTGGTGCTATCAGAAGAACAGAGTATCCTAGTCTGATTAGGCCTAGCCAGGTGAAGAGAAATTCCGGAGAGCTGTGGCACAGCAAAGCGACCGTCTCTGCCTTTCCAGAAATACCAAGAGACTTTGCCAGGCGTGAGGCGAAGACATTGGTGCCTTGGTCAACGTCTGCAAATGTAAGAACCCGATAATCCCAATTCTGTTGACCTGTTTGCGGTATGGGGAAGCCAACGGCGGGGAGCAACGGATGATGCTGGGATTGCTGGCTGAGAAAGTCGCTAATGTTCCGGTATGGCTTCGGATTGGTGTTCAGGGCGGCAGCTTGACCGAGTGTGCAGACGAAGTAGTTGCTCTGCATTTTGGGATGCATACCAGGGATGATTGTGTAGACTGAACCTTCCGATCCAATGGCCTATGAGGCTGGTTTGTTGATGCATCGGGTTCAATGGCATAGAATTTGTGATTATGGCGGCGCTGCAAGTCCCATTAGTCGTGACATCATAGTAGCTGCAAAGGCAATAGCGACCCTGCAGCTGCTCTTTAGGCAAACTACCGTATAGACAGCGCATGTCATGCTGTACTTTGGCAAAGAACATGAGGTTGCATACGGCAATTCCACGATAGCAGCAAGCTTTGGACTATTCGCAAGCCTCGGGGTAATACATAGTAGATCAGTTGCTGCGCGCACGAACCATGCGTTCGACAAGGCTTTGCCCACCCAACGCAGGCCTATGACGCGAGCCGCCATTTGGTCGCGTCAAATTGTATGTGTTCAATAGTACTCATATCCCTCAGTCGTACATGGCGTCACGAAACGTCTAGAAGAGGCTCGAGTATCTTCCTGGGCAAAGCAAACTCGACAAACGGTTGGAGAGCGTCGTAGACCCACGTAATCTGCTTACGACGGGCGTTACCATGTACAGGCTACGCCACAGTCACTATCGCATTTCTGGGGTAGCGAATGCGGGCAATGTTGACGCGTCGACGCCATCCAGTAGCGGCTATCAAGGTGTCGCGATAGTCAAGTCGCAAGATGTATCGTACCCTGTATGTGGAAGCCAGGACCATCTCTTTCTGGCTCAGGTGACAACAGCACGTCAGCGCTTCTCCACCCTTGCTCTCCGCACAGCGGGCTTATATCCGATGCGGCACAACAAGATGTTGTTTTGGGATGGATGGTGGGGAGAAAGTTGCAGCTAGCAGCGTGGCGGTGTGTGGCAATGCGAATAGTTTCGCAGGGAACGGCGTGCGTCTTTTAATCCAGATTTGTCAAGGAAAGTGATTGGTGGTGCCCATTGCAGGCCACATGCATTGGGCCGGTGGATGCGTCGTTCGTCTGTGCGGCCCGAGGATGTATATGCGGGCCACCTAGCAAGGCAATAAGCTAGGTAGACAAAGCCGGAAGTCATGGATGCGGCGTTCCTCCAGTGACAGCTGTGTTTGCTGTGGCTCCAATCCTGCATCCTACGTTTCTCCCAGATGCCGCCGGGTCTTGACGCGACACGAGATGAGATCTGAAACGGTGCGACACTGAGGATGCGGTGAATCATGCAAGGCTGCAATTGTTTTTGGCCGGCTTATAGTCAACAGTGGAGCTCGGCCCGCACGACGAAGCTTGACCGTCATTGAGAAGCCCCGTACGTGTCAGTAGATGGGGTTTGCGCAGAGAATGTGATGCACGGTCGACGGTGACTTGGGACCATGTTCCTTTGCCTTGAGCCAAGCTGGTCAACATTAATGGGCCGGGGCGGCTCCATCACGCAGCCAACCACGACGTGCATGGCATGGGGATTGCAGATGCGCCTAAACGGTTGGCAGCTCGAGTACGAGGCCGCTGGACGGAGTGCTGGTGCCGCAGGTGTATATCCGAAGCGTGGCAAGTTTTGCGTCTGGCGTTGTCTGAAACAACACCGCGGCCAGAGTGACGATGGCCGTTCGCGGTGTCGCGCCCGACCTCATGTCAGCGCCCGGCACGTCGGCCTTGTCGCGATAGAGATGCAAATTGAGCAATTTCCAAGCGGGCGGCATCGAATAAGTCACCCAGGTAGACTTTCGGTCGCGTCTGAGCGTATCTCCAATCCAATTGCCCTAGCTGCTAGAGGCAAGCACGGCCGGCTAGCGTTGTTGCTCTAGCCCGTGCGCTCGAGCATATATTCCTGCCCTCCCCAGCAACACCCGCCTCTTCTATCCGTTCCACCAAACCAGCATTAAATCACGCTGTAAGTCCCACATCTTCTGCGACGCAAGCATAGCGGCTTATATTGCGCCCATTGTCCCTTCACCTTTCGTCCCACGCCCTGTCGCTCGCCTTCTCCACCACCACTGCCGATCTCCCGCTAACTCTGCTCTTCGTAGGCATTGATATTCTCTGCCCCATCCGCAACAATGCTCTACTCTTCCATCTTCGTCGCCGCCTCGGCTCTCGCCGGCTTCGCCTCTGCGCAAAACGCCACGGGCACCTACGACACGCCCATTCCATGCTGCAGTGTCGCCGCCAGCTCTGTGCCCCAGGATGACAAGCAGACATGGTGCAACGCCAACCAGAACACCTGCGTTGAGCTCTGCGGTGGCCAGGGACAGCTTGCCAGCAACGGCAACCAGTGTGATCCGGTAAGCATCTCCATCTGGCGCGCAACGATAACCACTAACATGTCCGCAGCAAACACTTGACTTTTCTTGCGACTGCCGAAACGGTACCGATGTGAGCGACCAGATGGACGCCTACCAACAGACCGTTCCCGGTCTCATGTGCCGCTACTGGTACGACCAGTGTATTGCCGCCACCGGCTCCGATGCTGCTGCTCAGTTCCAGTGCAACCAGGCCCGTGACAACGAGTGCGGTAACCTAACTACCCAGGACGCCACCGATTCCGGTAACTCTGCCTCTGCTTCCGGTAGCGACAGCAGCCCATCTGCTACCAGCAGCGGTTCCCCCGACAGTACCAGCGAGGCTTCCGCAAGCGCTGGCTCCTCTACCCCTACCGGTGCTGCCGGTCGCATTGCTATGTATGGCACCCCCGCCCTCGCTGGTGGTCTTTTCGCGCTTTTCGGCTTCGCCTTGTAAGCTAGCAATACTGTAGATGGATTGCGGGCCGGTCCCAGTTGGACGGTAATGAGGATGGATTTGCGTCACGGATACTAGCAAGGCTGTACCACGTATCAGTCATCACGGCATAGCGTCATCAGCGCTTCGACGTTGGAGTCATTGCTTTCACTGCTATCTACTTGTTCATGGCGGCTCCATGGGAGACGAGAGGAGTTTAGGAGGATACTTAATGCGATGTTATGAAAGGACACACGACTTGTAATACCCAATACTACCAATACCGCCACTACCATGTTTTGCCTGTGTGTTTTGCGGAGCTTGAACTCTCACACTATTCATGTGATGCGCCGTGCGCACATATCCAGTATCATTTGCGTATTTTATCACTCAAGAAGTCTCGCCATGTACCTAACTGTAAAAGCATCGCGCTTTCCCCGCAGAAAGCAACTGCCAGCTGTTTGCGCAGGGACTCGAGGTGTACCACGGTTCCCTGAGCTGTAGTGCTGGCAACCGCGATGCCATTGGTCGATGCCGGGGGCAGGATCAGCCGGCTGGATGATAGGCGCTCTGCAGCTAACCCATGTCTCTGACGCATGTCTCCGAAATCGTTCCTAGATCCAACATTCTGGGTGCTCCCGATCAAAGTTTACCATCGGAACCGCTTTTTGCTCGATACTTGAACACGCCCTCACCGCCAACAGTGCACTTGCTAGCTGAAACCCGTTTTCGGCATCGCCGCATCACAAGCTCACAATCAGCAGCAGAGCCGAGGCCACGCGGACCCTGCGCTTACCGAGACAGCAGGTGTGAAAGTCGCAGCCCGAGCAAATGGGGACTTTTACTGACCGCATCCAGACATCATAAACATATAAAAAGTGGCGGTCTCAAGGTTCCTTGCGCTCGCGTCACACTCCCCTACGCAATACGTCACTCCGTATCGCCTACTCCAAAATCTGCGCAAGCGAGTTGCAGTACCCATCAACACACCATACATTACGAACCTGCAAAGAACAAGACACACATCAAGGACAATGGCGACTCTCAGTGCTGGACGCAAGCACAAGGTGACCATAGTTGGCTCCGGCAACTGGTAGGTGGCTGCAGCAGCTTGTTGGAGAAGATGGGGCTATGGACGGCTGCTGAGATCAATAGCTGACTGGTACAGGGGCACCACAATGGCCAAACTAGTCGCCGAGAACGTCAAGGAGAACCCATCCCTGTTTGAGGAGACTGTGCAGATGTGGGTGTTTGAGGAGGAGTACACCATCCCGAAAGATTCGCCTCACTACAGCGGCTCCGACAAGCCTGAGAAGCTGTCGCAACTCATCAACAGGGTTCATGAGAATGTCAAATACCTCCCGAACATCACGCTTCCTTCGAACGTGGTCGCCAACCCCGACCTACCCGATTCCTGCAAAGACTCTACGATGCTCATCTTCGTACTCCCGCATCAATTCATTGCGCGGTCGAGCCAGCAGCTGGTCGGCAAGATTCTCCCTTACGCACGAGCTATCTGCTGCACAAAGGGTGTGGACGTCAGTGAGAAGGGCATCAGGCTCATGTCAGAGACAATTGGCATGACTCTCAACATCTACTGTGGTGCTTTATCAGGAGCGAACATTGCTTCTGAGATCGCTCAAGAGAAGTACTCGGAGACGACTGTAGCATACGACCCGCCACCGATGGACTCGCGCAATCCTACCCCCAGCGGTTCGCCCAATGCCTCACAGACTGATCTTACTGCTCACGTGGACCTTATCGATCCGAGCAAAAAGAAACCCAGCAAGCGCTCAGCGCATTTGACTGCTCTCCCCAACGAGTACCCACCTCTGTCGCACGAGAACGTCAGGAGGCTCTTCCACCGTCCCTACTTTCATGTACATATCGTCAACGACGTCGCTGGTGTATCACTGGGCGGAGCGCTGAAGAACATCATCGCGCTTGCAGCAGGCTTTGTGGATGGTCTGGGCTGGGGAGACAACGCCAAGGCAGCTGTAATGCGTGTTGGTATCTTGGAGATGGTCAAGTTCGGCAAGGCTTTCTTCGGGGACAGTGCTCGCACAAGCACCTTTACTGAAGAAAGCTGTGGTGTCGCCGATGTCATCACTTCGTGCTCGGGTGGTCGCAACTTCCGCTGTGCAAAGATGTCTGTCGCCCGGGGCAAGACCATCTATGAGATCGAGCAGTCTGAGCTCAATGGCCAGAAGCTCCAGGGTACCAGCACTGCCTACGAGGTCAACGAGTTCTTGAAGGCAGAGGGAATGGAGGCCGACTTCCCGCTCTTCACCGCTGTCTACAACATTCTGGAAGGCAAGAACAAGCCCGAAGACATTCCCCAGCTTATTGAAAAGAAGCCATGACTAGAAGAACCCAAACTCTAGGAGTCTTAACACAACGGTACAAGACTGTAGAGCGGAGTACTTCATGTTCAACCGAAAGCGGATACCCCTTTAGATAGAATTGATTCCCATTGGACACTTCCTGGGGTTTTTATCACATTCCTGATGACAACCTACGACGATAATCACAAAAAGCAGTTATCTGAATGCTATTGATCTCCACAGAATGGTCAGCCGTCCGTCTGTTTCTAAGCACACATGAATTCATAATCATTGCTTTCGTACAACTGTACCACAATGTAGACGGGGAATGGACGGGCGGTGGGGTACGCGGATCGTTTATGGCTCTCTAAATTCTACATATCCTTGTATGGATTTCTAAGCGCATGTGGACTCTGTAAGCATATGTACAGCCGTTCGAGGAGTTGCGTACGCTGCAAGCATATATACATTTTCTAAGCAGACCATATAGGCGACACGGCAATGCACCCGGCCGCGCTCGTAATGCAACCGACTGACATATGTACCTCCGAACAGCATCAGACTTTACAAGCCTTGGCGGGATCGACATCAGGGAGGGTCTTAGCTCCGCGGAGCCCGATGTCAATGCAGACTGCATCACACAGACGAACATGGGAAACTAGCGATCACCGATTGTGAAAACAGGCCGCCTGCCTGCAAGCTACACACGCGTGTCAGGTATACGCAAAGGTCCACCTTACACGAGTGAGCTGCGACTCGTGCTGTGGACTCGATATGCAGGGACATCTGCCCAAGTGGGTAAAGCGAATGAGATCTTCTGCGGAAGGAATGATTGGTAATGCGAAAAAAAAAGTGTTGGATGCCCACCCGTTTCGGCCATTTTTGGCATCGCGAGCTGGGTGGATGCGCTTCGCAAGTTCAGCTTAGTCTAGCTTCTCGGCAAGGCACGTCAATCATTCATCAAATCTCAAAGATGACGACATGGTTGTGCTTTATCTCCGTTGTCTCCTGCCCAAGCGGTTTGTCAACTCTAAATTTTGGCCTGGTATCCCCGTTGGCAAAAGCACCCCCAGTATTCTCCTGGCTCTACCGGTGACCGCTTAGTAAAGACCAATTGAGCAGTACTAGTACGACAAACGTCCTGTCTCTTGCTATCGTTGCTCTTCAGACTCTTTTCCTGCTCTGTTCTTCTTCCACACGCCTGTTTGATACCCTAAGATTTCATTTGCAACATGTGGGGATCCGCAATCCCACCCGATCGAGACAATCGACGCAACCCATGGCATGAGGACGACTATCTTCGTGATGGAAGGGAAGAGGTGGTAACACCGGACAACCAGAGTGAAGAAGATAGCTCAGATCGCGAGGGCCTGAAGCGTGCTGGTACCTGGGGTGAGAGAGACGCAGGGAAATTGGACACACGGGCTGCAGCAGAGGATCTTGAAGTTCTGCGAGGCGAACTCGCGTCTCTTTCAAAATCGCGTTCCCGGGGCGCGCAATCGCAACGATCAAACCCGCTTTCCAGGACCGTGAGCAGGGTCAGCGGCCGCCAGAGTCAGAGTCATCCTCGGGGATCAATTGCACGCGCAGAGGAGGGTACAGGCGACGCAGAAGATGATGAGCCGGGAGATATTGGTGCCGCTGCCGCGCCGGCAGAGAAAGAAGACGACTTCGAACTTGATGAGTTCATGCGCGAGGGCCATTTCGAGAAGCGCAAAGACGGTCAATCAGCCAAGAAAGTCGGTGTCATCTACAAGAACCTTACAGTCAAGGGTGTAGGATCGACCGCTTCATTCGCAAGGACGCTGCCCGACGCGATACTAGGAACATTTGGGCCTGACCTTTACAAAATCGTTACGGGCTTTGTACCTGCGTTGAAGCTTGGCAGGCACAAACAGATGAGGACACTTATCCATGACTTCTCAGGTGTAGTCAAAGATGGTGAGATGATGCTTGTTTTGGGACGGTAAGCAGTATTTCAAACAATATGCTTGGCGAGTGCTGACCGAGCGTATCAGACCCGGATCCGGATGTTCAACATTCCTGAAGGCCATATCCAACAATCGCGAATCCTACGCCGCTGTCGAAGGCGATGTATCCTATGGAGGTATCCCAGCCGGCAAGCAAAAGAAGCAGTTCCGTGGCGAAGTCAACTACAACCCCGAAGACGATTCCCACATGGCCGATCTCAACGTGTGGCAAACGCTCAAATTTGCTCTCACCAACAAGACCAAGAAGAACGAGAAGCACGAGGTCAGTGTCAAGTATGCAAGCTCCTATGCGGGACAGATACTGACGTTGTATACTACAGATTCCCATCATCCTTGAAGCCCTCCTAAAGGTCTTTGGTATATCCCACACGAAGTATACTAAAGTCGGAGATGAATACGTCCGTGGTGTCAGTGGAGGTGAACGCAAGCGCGTCTCCATTGCCGAGACTCTAGCCACCAAGAGTTCGGTCAATTGCTGGGATAACAGTACCCGCGGTCTTGACGCTAGTACCGCGCTCGACTACGCCAAATCGCTGCGTATCATGACCGATATCAGCAATCGAACTACGCTAGTAACCCTTTACCAAGCTGGTGAACAGATCTACGAGGTCATGGACAAAGTCATGGTTATCGATGCTGGTCGATGTATCTATCAGGGACCTGCAAACGAAGCCAAGCAGTACTTTGAGGATCTCGGATTCAAGTGCCCGGAACGTCAGACTACTGCTGATTTCCTGACTGCCGTTACTGATCCCACCGAGCGACAGTTCCGCCCCGGTTTTGAAGATAAAGCACCGAAGACATCTGAGGAATTAGAAAGGGCTTTCAGGGAGAGTGACGCATACAAGAAGGTATTGAGAGAGATCTCCGAATACGAGGCTGAGCTCGAGGCCAGTGGCTACGTGGACGCCAAAGAGTTTGAGGGTGCCGTACGCGAGAGCAAGAGTAAAACGGTCCGCAAGAAGAGTCCGTACACGGTCTCGTTCATTCGACAGGTTATAGCCTGTACTCAGCGTGAGTTCTGGCTCACTTGGGGTGACCAGACTACGCTGTACACCAAGTTCTGTAAGTTTTGCAAACGCATTGATGGAAAATTCATCGTCTCCATCATCTTGGACCATCTTGCTAACGTTACCATCAAGTCATCATCATCTCAAACGGTCTCATCGTCGGTTCGCTATTCTACGGTCAATCTCTCGATACTTCAGGCGCTTTTTCGCGAGGTGGCTCCGGTTTCTTCTCCATTCTCTTCCTCGGATGGCTCCAGCTTTCCGAGCTCATGAAGGCCGTTTCTGGTCGCAATGTCGTCAAGAGACATGAAGATTACGCATTCTATCGCCCAAGTGCTGTGGCTATTGCGCGTGTGGTACAAGACTTCCCGCTTTTGTTGGCGCAGGTCATTCCATTCTGTAAGTCACATCTAGCAAAAACGTGCGAAACGTGAGCCCAGCTGACATCTTTAGCCATCATCATGTACTTCATGACTGGTCTCGACGTCGACGTATCCAAGTTTTTCATCTACTTCCTGTTCATCTATACTACGACCTTCTGTATCACAAGTCTTTACCGCATGTTTGCCGCCCTCTCTCCAACGATTGACGACGCTGTACGCTTTGCTGGTATCGCGCTCAACCTCTTGATCATATACACCGGTTACGTTATTCCGAAGCCACAGCTTCTGACTGATTACATCTGGTTCGGATGGATCTATTGGATTAATCCAGTCGCGTATTCTTTCGAGTCAGTACTCGCCAACGAATTTTCCGACCGTGTTATGGAGTGCGCGCCCAGCCAACTGGTACCCCAAGGACCTGGCATCGACCCTGCATACCAGGGCTGCAGCTTGACTGGTGCACCGCCAAATTCTAACACCGTCCCTGGTTCAGACTACCTCCAGGTATCGTTCAACTATTCGAGGTCGAACCTCTGGCGCAACTTTGGTGTCGTGATAGCTTTCTCGGTGCTCTACCTTCTGGTGACCGTGATCGCAACCGAGACTGTATCCTTCGCAGCCTCAGGTGGCGGTGCGTTGGTTTTTGCCAAGAACAAGCGGGCTAAGCAAGCGGTCAAGGAGGAGGCTCCCGCTGATGAGGAGAAGATAGCCGCTGGCGAGTCCGCTTCAAGCTCACACACTGCTGCTCATGAAGAGGAAGAAGCGTTGGAGTCTATTTCGAGCAGTGAAAGTGTCTTCACCTGGAAGGATGTTGAGTACACTGTCCCATATCAGGGAGGTGAGCGCAAGCTTCTGAACAAGGTTAACGGGTACGCAAAGCCCGGTGTCATGATCGCTCTTGTTGGTGCCTCCGGTGCTGGTAAGTCCACCCTGCTCAACACACTTTCGCAACGACAATCTACTGGTGTCGTTTCGGGTGAGTTCTTGGTGGATGGTAAGGACCTTGGCAAGGCTTTCCAGAGAGGCACAGGGTTCTGTGAGCAAATGGATCTTCACGACGGCACTGCTACGATCCGTGAAGCACTGGAGTTCTCTGCCATCCTTCGTCAAGACAAGAACACACCGAGGAAGGAGAAGCTCGACTACGTTAACAAGATCATCGACCTCCTCGAGCTGCAAGACATCCAAGACGCACTAGTTTCTAGCCTAGGCGTGGAGCAGAAGAAGCGTCTTACGATCGGTGTTGAACTTGCTGCGAAGCCTTCTTTGCTCCTGTTTCTAGACGAGCCAACCAGTGGTCTTGACAGCAACTCGGCATACTCCATTGTTCAGTTCCTCAAAAAGCTTGCTCAGGCAGGTCAGGCTATTGTCTGCACCATCCACCAACCTAGCAGCGTTCTGATCCAGCAATTCGACATGATTCTCGCCCTCAACCCAGGTGGCAACACGTTTTACTTCGGCCCAGTAGGCGAGAATGGGCGCGATGTTATCAAGTACTTTGGCGACCGTGGTGTACAGTGCCCACCCAGTAAGAACGTGGCAGAGTTCATCCTAGAAACTGCTGCGAAGCCTGTCAAGCGCAAGGACGGCAGCAAAATCAACTGGAACGAAGAGTGGCTCAATTCTGACAACAACAAGCAGATGCTCCAGGAGATCGACCGCGTCAAGACGGAGCGTAGCAAGATCTCCGACCAGAATCAAGATGGTGGAGCTGAGGACTCCGAGTTCGCGGCGAGCGTCTGGGAACAAACCACCATGCTCACGAAGCGCACATTCATCCAGTACTGGCGCGACCCGTCTTACCTCTACGGCAAACTCTTCGTCGCGGTCATCATCGGCATCTTCAACGGTTTTACCTTCTGGCAACTCGGCAACTCCATCGGCGACCTCCAAAACCGCATGTTCACTGCTTTCCTCATTATCCTCATCCCGCCCACCATCGTCAACGCTGTCGTACCCAAATTCTATCAGAACATGGCCCTGTGGCAAGCACGTGAACTTCCTTCCCGTATCTACGGCTGGGTTGCTTTTACGACTGCGCAAGTTGTTGCTGAGATCCCCATCGCCATTGTGTCAAGTGTGCTATACTGGGTTTTATGGTACTTCCCGACTGGATTACCGACCGATAGCTCGACTTCTGGATACGTTTTTTTGATGACCATGCTGTTCTTCTTGTTCATCTCCAGTTGGGGTCAGTGGATCTGTGCGTTCGCGCCGTCCTTTACTGTCATTTCGAACGTTTTGCCCTTCTTCTTTGTCATGTTCGGTTTGTTCAACGGTGTTGTACGACCGTACGATATGATGCCGGTGTTCTGGAGATATTGGGTAAGTAACATCCCCGTACGACCCATGCGTGAGGCGCACACTAACCTTGTATACCACAGATGTATTACGTAAATCCTTCAACGTACTGGATTGGTGGTGTACTCTCTGCCACGCTGACTGGCATTCCTGTTCAGTGCCAGGAGAGTGAGACTGCCATCTTCGATGCACCACCAGGCCAAAGCTGTTCCTCTTACGCCGGCCCCTTCGCTTCCACCTCCCCTGGCTACCTGCTAAACCCTGAAGCCACAAGTGGTTGCCAGTACTGTCCTTACTCTGTTGGAGATGACTACTTGGCTACCATCAATGTCAAAGCCAGCGACAAGTGGCGCGACTTTGGTATCTTTCTAGCCTTTTGCATTAGCAACTGGGCGCTTGTTTACTTCTTCGTCTGGTCCATTCGAATCAAGGGATGGAAGTTCGGATTTGGGATGGTAGGCAATGGTGTTGGGAAGGTCAAGAAGATGCTAAGTGGAAAGAAGAAGGGTGAGGGGAAGGCCTAATACATGAAAAGCACATGTAGTGTTTGAGACTCGTATAACATTTTAATGTAGTATAACGTTCAAACTTCCACAAGCTTTCGAAACGGCTTTTGCAAAGTCTGAGAAAGCAGGTACCTTCTAGCCATACCCTGCAGCAAGATTTACCTTGAGATGTTCACCGGTGTTCATGTTGTGCTTTTGTAGTATCCAGCGCAGCGAGTGACTTCGGAGTACATTATAGGTACAACTTAGAGATTCCGAACTTTCCGGTATTCTTGATGCCTTGCATTAACAAACAGCATTGGTATGGAGTATGCCCACCTACTACAAACCTACCCCTCTCTACCCAAAACCTTCCGCCACCCAAACTCCTCCCTAAATCCCAACATATCCTTCATCTTCTTATTAGAAACCGGACTCTCCCTCTCTCCCATTCTTGTCAAAATCTCCGTCTCGGGACAAATCTTCCTTAACCAATTCTCGCTCGTGCCCTCCGTCTCCGGGATAGTAATGTCATCATTCACCGCATTGAAAACCTGGTACCCCAGCCCATCCGTCTGTAAACAACAATGTACCATATTACCCAAATCCCTCGCATCGGTATAACTCCACGCATGCACTTTGAAATCCTGTGGCCGGGTTAAATAAGCTTCAAACTTCTTTGTATGATTCTCCGGTTCGATGACAGCTGAGATGCGCAAACAGTAAATATCTACACCAGGAAACCGGCGTGCAAATGACGCGGCGGTAGTTTCCATGCAGATTTTACTAGTGGCATAGACGTCCATGGGGGTTGTTGGTGTGGACTCTGTGATAGGGAAGTGGGCGTAAGATGTGGAGCCTTCGGCATAGGTGACGCCATAGGTGGTGAGGCTGGAGGCGAGGATTATCTTGCGGATGCCGAGCTTACAGGCAGATTCGAGGATGTTGTAGGAGCTGAGGGTGTTTATGCGGTAGGTTTCGTTGTCGGGGAGGCGCATGGGTTGGGGGATACCTAGGGGTTGCATGTTAGGTCCGTATGGGCGGTATGGTTTGGCATCCGTTCACGACTTTCTGTGTATCCACCTCTTCGTAATAAGCATTGGTGGTTACATACCAGCAAAATGTACGACGACATCCGGTGTTTTAACTGGCTCCATGAAGGGTTCGCTGATCTTAAAGTGACAAGACAGGCTGTTGAAAGCTTGCGCGCCGTCTGTAAGATCGGCCTTCAAAGTATGTACATTGGGATTGGCTAGAGGTGTCGCATCCACGTTGAGTATCTCATGGCCGAAGCTAAGCAACTTCTCAATTACATGACGTCCGGCGACTCCAGAACCGCCCGTAAATACTATCCTCTTCTTTGGTGGAGGGGACATTGTGCAGGAGAACACGAGGTGTCAGATAAAATCGTAGCTGTGGTATGACGGAACTGTCTGTAAGTTCGCAAGCAAAGGACAAGAGATCCCATGACCAAGATGCTGATCATAAGGCTTGCTGTTCGTAAGCGGAGCTTCCCCGCTCTAGCTTACGAAGCTCTAACCTCGTTGGTCCTTCTGAGCACCGTTGTGCGTGGAGTCTTGGAGGCCGAAAATGGTAATAATGCACGAACACGCACCATGCCAGAAACAGGGGGTCTGGACAATCCATACCGCTATTGGTACATTCATTCATGTCTATCATTCGGGCCTCAGCTACTCGATGAGCAGAGGCCTTTGATCGTAATGTCCGGCCTTTCCCTATACGCCTCTCTACACAACCTGGGTGCCGTATCCCCTGATTCTGTCGGCGAATGCCCAGCTCTGGTTCTCCAGCTTCACGTTCTCGTCGAGATCAACACCGTCCTTTGTGATGACGGCAATCGAGTACTTGTCCATACTCCTAGCATCTCTGTAGAAGAGAACCTTCATGCACTCCTTGACCTTCTCTACTGCTTGTTCCCGTGTGACGTTTTCTACAGCGGCCTCATCTGGCAGTATTGTCCTTAGGATTGGCTGAGCGAGATGTGCACCGAAGCCAGTGGCCAGCGATGGCGATGAAAAGGTGGTACCGAGAAGGTCTGCGCTTGCAAGGAAGGGCTTCTTATCACCGTCCATGCCCACGATGAGCAGGTGGTTCCACAATGGGTCGAACTTTGAGCGACGATTGTACATGACTTTGGCGAGGTAGGTATGGAGATTCTTGGCATTCAGCGAGTTCTCAGAAGAGGAGTAGTTCTCGCGGATGTCGAGCGAGTTGAGTAGGCGGTCCAGGTACTGCATGTCCGAAACATCGCCGCCGAAGCCTACGACTACCTCGTCATTGAACTTTCTTAGGCGCTTGACGTCGGTGAAGCGAGCAAGGGAGCCATATGAAGCTGTGATGGTTTGTCAGCCAGAACCTCACTACCAGTTGTGTTGTGGCATACCCAGATTGTCTGCGGCAATGACTACGCCGTCCTTGAACTTGGCTGCAAGTACCGAGGTACCGGTCACGATCGGGCTCTGAGTGTGCTGGTTCGGGCCGGCAGACGAGAAATGTGAAGGATCATAGGCGCCGTATACATCGTCTCTAGGCTATGATGTATTAGTACTGTTGCTGGCTGAGGCGGCGGGCGGAAGACATACACGACCCCAAGCTTGTGGAAGATGGTTCATGGTAACGGTGGTGATTGAAACGGCGGTTTAGAGAGGGGGATTTGTTCAGGAATCAGAGAGGGTGATATGTTGTAGTGAGCTCAAAGGTGAGGTTGTTGTTACGATGTTCCCAGGCAGTCGGTGGTTGCGCAGCTCACCCGCCAAGACAGCGAGTTGGCCCAAGCTTCCGCATACTGAGGTCAATCCGAGATGATCGTCTGCAAGCATTGCGCACTCAAAATGCTCGGAATCGACTACCCAGATAGTGACGAGGAGGACGTCGTGCCCGCGACTCATCCAGAGGTGAGACTCACAAACGTACACCAAGGGCTCTTGTGGCTACTAATATAGAGTTGACCAACATTTCTGCAGCAGTTGCGCCGGCTCCAGAACCTCCTTCCGCTCCCGCGCCTCTCGAACAACCGCCTACCTCCTCATATCCAGTGAATGGTCCTGCTCAAGGCCCCGCTCAAGGCCCAACCGTTTCGCCACCTCCAGAGGAACATGTCCCCTCGAACGACGCCGCGCCAGGCTCAACGTACGCCAACACACGCGCTCTGATTCAGAACCTTACCTTACCCACCGTACCCAATTTCGACATACCACCTTCTCCGCCGGGATCACCACCTCAGAGAGCGACGAAGAAGTTTGCGCAGTTCCTCGAGCTTAAAAAGAAGGGGCAACACTTCAATCAGCGCCTAGAAACCTCGTCAGTGCTACGCGATCCAGGGCATATGCAGAAGTTGATGGACTTTGCGGGGATTAGCGAACAAGACTCATATACATCCACACTACCAGAAGATGTCGCCATACCGGCAATCTTTCCAGAGTGGGCCTACGTCGAGGAACTGAAAGCCTCACAGAAGCGGATTTCGAAGACCAGAGAGCAGGAAAGATCCAAGGCACCAAGAGAAGCTCTCGAGTTCGTCTCCGCGTCTAAGAATGCGTCGAGCTCTACCGCGGGAAAACGCAAGGAGTTGGAACACAGAGGAAAGGATGATCAGAGTTCAAGGAGCAAGTTGGAGAGCGGGTCGAGATCTCCAAAGAGAAGGCGGTCGAGCTCTAGAGACAGAAGGTGATGGAGACGATTGTACATTAGCAGCAGACTTCAGTAGCGCAATGGCATAGTAATGCTGATTACAGCTCCGATAATACGTTCGAGGTCTAGTTAGTAAATTACAAAACATGGACTGAAGTCAATTATGCGTATGCTTCAACGCGGTCTGGAGGGTATGCTCTCACTACATCAGCGCCAAGACACTAGCGCGTGGAAGCTCCAGGCATTCGAGCTGCGTAACTCCAGAGCTTCAACACCAACAAACAAATCCACCGCCATAACCCACAGCCCTCCGGTATCGACAAGACTTCCTACGGCCTACTTCGAATCCACGTCTGCACAACTCAACAATGGCTGCGCTCTACACCGGTGCACCCCCGCAAGGTGGCCCAGGCTATTCGTTCAACCAGACCCCCAGAACTGTCCCGTCAGGCGAGCGGCAACATGGTTTCTACCCGTATGTGCAGCTTTCATACTGAGTACATGCACAACCTAACAAGATCCAGCTACACCGACAACGGCGGATCAACACTAGGCATCTCTGGCGCCGACTTCGCCATCCTAGCAGGTGACACACGTTCGACATCCGGCTACAACATCAACTCACGATACGCACCCAAGCTCTTTAAGATTGGCGGCGAAGGGCCAGACAACAAGGGCGCCCGGATAGTACTGTCTGTAGTCGGCTTCGCCGCAGACGGTGATGCGTTGAAGGAGCGTCTCGACACCATTGTCAAGATGTACAAGTACCAGCACGGAAAGCCCATGACCGTCTCTGCCTGCGCACAACGACTCAGCCACATCCTCTACAACAAGCGATTCTTTCCCTACTACGTACACGCCATCTTAGCCGGTCTGGACGAGGAGGGCAAGGGGGCGTTGTACTCCTACGACCCGGTCGGCAGCTACGAGAGGGAGCAGTGTAGGGCGGCCGGTGCTGCGGCATCACTTATCATGCCCTTCTTGGACAACCAAGTCAACTTCAAGAACATGTACGAGCCAGGCAGCGGCACGGGTCACGAACTCAAGTCAAAGCAAGCACAACCGCTACCACGGGACCACGTTGAGGATCTGGTACGGGACGCCTTTACAAGCGCGGTGGAGAGGCATATTGAGGTTGGTGATGGCCTTCAGATGATGATCATCACAAAGGAGGGCATAGCCGAGACCTTCACTCCGCTCAAGCGGGACTAAGAAGGTGTGGTAGGCAGATCGAGGGTGGGGTATCTTCACGAATATGATGATTTCAAGACACCGAGCAGATGTATGAATAGCACAATGAAATGCTACTGAAGATTAAGAATCAAGCCTTTGCATGGTTCATGCCAGACAAACTCTGTATCCTCTCTGTACTTTCATCTTGTCTGCTTGCGCTCGTTTGGATGCAGTCGAAGCGCTGCCTGTGTGACACCTCCCGACAGTCAAACAGCTATTGAATCTACGTTTCCTGTCTTCTAACACTTTGCATCAGAGTCCTTTGGCGTAATAACAAGCTCTGTGCTATTTTCTAAGTAAATTATAGATGTTGTGACGCCAGTCCTATTTGTGATATCTCTACAGATCTCTCTTCACCCCTGCTAATGCTCTTGTACTCTTCTTGAAAAAAGGTCGCACTGCTTGTATTCCATGTAATAGACGTTGCCCACACAAAGAGTTAATAAGCCAAGTAAGATACCCTGAGGATACGCCACTCCCCAGAGTTACTTGGCAGTATTATATCGCTCTTCCTGTGTTAGCATAAATCCTCACTGTAAGGCTACAGGGAAAAGAATCTACAGGACAGCACTAAAAAACTGATCTCAGCAAGAGCAAAAAGAACAGTCACCCTTAATGTATTAAGTTCCTGCCGAAAACCCCCACTACAAGTCCTAAGGTGAAATCTTGAATGCTCCGAAGATGCCATCCAAGACTAAACCTTAGAAGATGCAGAGGCGATTTTATCACGACTCGAACCTGCGTCTCCCAGTCTGAATGGGTAGCGACCCCATTCAGACTGGAAGATACAGGTCGCCAGCCGACCAAGGGTATTCCAGCCTCATTGATGGGAGAACTGTGCTGGATCAAGGCTTATATAGCGAGAAGAAATGTAGAATCACATGGTTTATGTGAAGGAGAGCGGGAAGGATATACAAATGTACTAGCGGGAGGAGGAGGTGAAGGTGAGGGTGGGTGTTTGCTAATTTGGTGGTTATTGACGAGCTGCGCGTGTGCTGCCTGTGGGAAGAAGCGAGAGGTCTGACGGTGAGAAAGATGATGAGGGGAAGGATGACGAGGCGTAAAATCAGACAAACGGGTAGCTTGGAAAAAGAGACTGATGTTGTAACGGTGAACTTACCTAGGCACACACAGATTATGTGAGTTTGCAACAACGACGTGTCAAAGAGAACCGAGTTGCTCGAATAGATTGACATACCAAGAAGACAAAGTAGACGTAGTCAACGGATTGGGATATGGAAAGCGCGATAGATGGAAGCGTTCGGTCTACGCGAGCTCAAACATAGCTGAAAACACATACGGTATGGCAAAACTTATACTGAACTGCAATTGACGTGAGAAGTAAAGGTTTGCTGTCTGCTGAGTGTATTTCAACACATCCCAATAATGCGGCAGCCGGCTTCGTCGCAGTTGTTTGGAAGACTTATGTTTCCGTTGACGGTATGCTTAGTAAATGATACGGCGTCAATCCAGGGGGACAAAGAGTTGATGGATGAGAACACTTTGCTACCCTTATGTTGGCTATCAAGGCCTTGGTCAATGACCAGGACTGTGAACGGCAGTGCGGGTATCAAACATGAAGTCTAAGAGCTAGAGATGGTGTTTGTAATGAGAATATCTGTCTTGAGCGCCATGAAAGGCCGTCGTGACAGACTGAAGTTGGTGAAGGAACGACGGGAAGATACTGTGCGGCATGTGCGCCCCTTGACGCGCTAGCCCGACCCAACAACGTCACCGGCCAACACCTCCGTGCATGCCGACCCATCGGTTGAGCTATGCGACCTTCTCGCATGGTTCATTCATCTAAACCCAAGGGCCTGCATTCTCTCGATGCTGTGCTAGGAGATGCAGGAAACAAGCTTTCTCGCCGAGAGACCAAATCTGGGGAGGGCGCACACGCGGCACATGTCGCTTCCCGAATCTCATCTAAACAGATTGCTTTCGATAACTCTTCACCCTAAGACCTGGTCGAGTCGCCCGATAGCATTGGGTCACGACACCCAGTAAGGCTCGTTGACAGTGCACGCTTTTTCAGCAGCTTGAGATTCTAAGATTGCGCGCCTCCTGTCGTCGCTCGTCGTCAACAAGTACAGCTACGTAGGTAAGATTAGACAGGTCCTCGTTGCAGCTCACAGAGGTGCAACAATGAGTTCCTCAGCTTTTCTAGAAGGTTTGCACCTGATCAAGCCGATGTGAGCTTTATCCGGTGGTTCCTAGTGCACGCATTATATACAAGCAGCCCTGCACGACACACACAAAGGCATACCTCTAGAGCGAATCCATGGCCAGGCTGCCATGTGGTCACCAATAAGTGACCGGGTTCTGCGGTCTGGTTAATATCCACCCTAGCCATAGCACGTTACACGTGGAAAACAGAACCCGGGTTTCGGCAACGACAAGCTTTACTTTCATATAATCTTAAGTCAGACGACGGTGCCATACTCTACAGATGTACGTCTTGGGTTTAGCAGCACGGATCTGATTCACGGGCTGGACTTCGTCTGCAAGCGAGCATGATGTCCAGCCTTCGAAAAATCGAGAAACGAGTATAAAGAGGTGGTAGGTACGAGACCATTTCGATGCCAGCCCATTAAGAATCGACCATTTTCTTTCTTCAGTCAACCGACTACTGTCGATAATTTCAACGATGAAGAGCGCGATCATCTTGACCAGCGTTGTTGCCTTTGCAACACAGGCAGCGTCTCATGCGACATTCCAAGACCTTTGGGTCAACGGCAAAGATCAGATAAGCATACCCAACCCATAATACGATGCCACTAACACCCATTCACCAGTCGACTTGCGCCAGGCTTCCCAATAGTAATAGCCCAGTCACATCGGTAGCAAGTAACGACATCCGTTGCAACGCCAACCACGGACCAGCAGCCTCAAAATGCAGTGTCCCTGCCGGTGGCACTGTAACTGTAGAGATGCATCAGCAGAACGGCGATCGATCTTGCGCGAACGAGGCCATTGGTGGTGCTCACTACGGCCCTGTGCTTGTCTATATGTCCAAAGTCGCAGATGCATCCACAGCTGATGGCTCCACTCCGTTCTTCAAGGTCTTCCAGGATACATGGGCGAAGAACACTGCTGGCGGCGGCGGCTCAGACGATTATTGGGGTACGAAGGACCTGAACAAAAACTGCGGAAAGATGGACGTGAAGATCCCCACAGATTTGGCCCCAGGAGACTATCTGCTAAGAGCAGAAGCCATTGCGTTGCATGCTGCATCTGGTGCTGGTGGCGCTCAATTCTACATTACCTGCTACCAAATCACTGTGACTGGTGGTGGTTCTTCTTCGCCTGCTGGTGTAGCTTTTCCCGGAGCATACAAAGCTACCGACCCTGGCATCCAGATCAACATCTACCAGAACCTCGCATCGTATGTCGCCCCCGGTCCGGCAGTTATCGCAGGTGGTACTGAAGCCGTTGCTGGATCCGCTGGATCCACTGTGACTGCTACTGGTGGAGCCCCGGTTGCCACATCTACAGCAACCACGATGAAGACATCTGCAGTAGCCACATCTGCTGCCGCTGTGCCAACGAGTGGAGGTGGTGCTGGAGCGTGCTCAGTTGCAAAGTACGGTCAGTGCGGCGGTAATGGATACAGTGGATGCAAAACCTGTAAGTCGGCCTAACTCGGGTATGCGAGGACAGGCTTGTACTGACGATCGATAGGTGCTTCAGGACTTACCTGCAAGGCTGGAGGTGACTATTATTCACAGTGCGTCTGATCAGCTTGATGGCAGCGGACGGGAGACTTATTAAGCTCCATGTAAATATTTAGGTATCTCTGGAAATGACGACTGCTTACTCTCTGTTACTTGTATTATCTGTTGTTTGTTCTAGACCATAGGGTCGGAACTAGGACTCGACGGTAACAACAGCGCCCTTCCACACCCCCATCACATTTCCTGCACACTCGGAATAAGGTCGAGCATCTGCATGCGCAAACCTGTCTCATCTCGCAAAAGACGCCCTTCACAGCATTCACGCGTCTAGCGCCCGCCCTTCATATCGGCATAATGGTAAGCGTGAACACTTACCCCTCTTTAGGTTTAATCTTCACCGGCATAGATTTTCAATTCCGAACATTATACATCACGCTCGTCCAGCCACGTCGGCGCATGCAATGAATAACGAAACAATTGTCGCGTCTGGAACAAAAATTTAGCCTTTGGACATAAGCTTGACGTGTATATCGTGCCTCCTGCATGCAATGCTTGTAGGGCTGTGGCTTCGGGATTGGGCGCCTAACATTGCTGCCTAGGCATGATACCATGATGAGTGTGCATCCGCTTACTACGACCGTCGATTAGCCACTCCGAACCATGCAGGGATTATTTCTGATATGGAATTCGTGGTTCACACTGGATTATGAGCGGTCAGTCTCCATTCCGACAATGTACGAGGCAGGAAAAGGGCAATGACGAGCCTAAACAGGGCATGTTGCTTGATCGGTGGTGATGTGATGATTTTGTATATGAGATGGTTTGTGGGACATTGATAGAAGAGTCAGACCAGCTACAAGAGAGTAGAAGCAGAGCATCGCCGTAGCACAACTGCCTCAATTCTTTCCATCAACTTGAAGTACCATCAAAACATCATCCAATTACAAGATCCCCTCAGAACGTCCATCATCACAATGTCTTCTCCCTCCAACAAGACCTCTCCTACCGATCTGCCACGCTACTCCACCACCGCACCACCACCATACGCATCATCCGATGCGAACTCCATGTTTTCAACGAAGTCAACATCGAAGAGTATCCTCAAGAAAATGTTGAACCTGAATAGTACATTGACATACCCTGCTAGACTTGGAAAAGCCAGTTAAAGCTGACAGCAGCATCTGAAGCGACGTCGCAATCAAGTAACCAAACGCGGAAGGAGACCGAAGAAAACGAGGCGAGAGCTTCAGCACGAGCGGCGTACTTCTCTGGCCTTTAAAGCAGCTATCGGTATTGTAGAGAGAGAGAGAGAGAGAGAGATGTTATCGGGGTTATCGAGATGATGGTTGTCAAGTTCCACGCTTCGGGCATTCCGTGTGCTTATAGCATACGTCTGGAGCATCGAGGAAACCATCGAACGCTTTTTCAGTATCGGATCCAGCTTCGTGTATATGTAGGCGCCTGGCGTTGTGTAGTATGTACCGCGTTCCTAGTTCCTGGTCAAAATGGTATCCTTGACCCACTTAGAATATGTCCTGGTCAAGTTAGCAGGCCCTGAATATATTTACACTTGTTTGTCTTACCGTATTGTTCCACGTTGCATTGTCCAGCCAATTTAGAAAGTCCTCACTCTCAGTTGGTATAGGTTCCAAACCCTCAATCATGGGCATGTCGAAGAAGCCTTGCCCCGCTCCAGCCATAGCTGCAGCGTCATCGCCCCGTTCTTGCTCGCCATTCGTTGGAGGCACGTAATTGAGGACTTCCTCGAGTACCAGTGCAAGCATCTTGTTGAGCTCGCTGCACAGTTTGTGATTTCCGTCGCCGGGAAGAACTATCCATTCCAGACACGAAGTTAGCACGGAAAGATTTCGGATGACCTCTGCTCGACTTATTGTATCAGGCAATGGTACGCCTTCAATCGTGCATCTTCGAAGCTCTAATGCTAGGACACCGGCGGCGGGGGAGCAGTAGAATAATATAACAGTGGGAAAGTGGCGACGAATTTCGTAATCGCTATTTTGCGGTTTGGTACATATAAGGGATGTAACGAGTATTTTTAGCGACACTTCCAATAGTGCTGGGAGCGCCTGTTGCGTGATCCGGTGAAGTAGACGTTGCGTCTGGAAATGGACGTGCAGGTAATCCAGATAGTAAGCGGTTAGTCGCATAGCTAGACCAGGACCACGCCCTACCCAGGCAGCCTCTTCCGTGTAGGTATCGTATCTCAGATGCGTTGGCAATGCGTTCCACCATGCTGTACATTCGGCAGATATCGCTCTGATAGTGTTAGCCGAATGTAGAGAAAAGTTCAAGGGTCAGACGTACTCTACGTTCTGCACCACATCACTATCCTTCTCACCTGCCAAAGTTTGCTCTAGCAGCCTCTCTTTGAAAACAGCAAGCTGACACCTCATTCTGCCGAAGGTCGCAGGGTGAAGATGCCCTTCTGTGTTCCAGCCTGCGCTGTCTAGCTTCGAAAGCTCAGCATTCAGTACTTCCGGATCTTCTGAAGTCACAGCCTGATCGCTAATGTCCAATAACATCTTGCGGTCACTATACCTCCAACCCATCATTGGAGGTCGTCCATAGAACACAGCTAGGGCTTTGTCGGAGCGATATATGGCTGCGTAGAGCCGTCTTCTGAACTCGCGCATAAAGAACGGTTCTGCATTGGAACCATCTCCATTACAGGCTTCGCAATGTATGCCTGCGGCATAGAGAGCAGAAACACTGTCGCCCATACGCCTCCATGTGGCATGATCTAGACGTGTCAGCAGTTGTGATGCAGCTCTCAAGAATATAGATCGACGCACGGTTATCTCCATAGAAACTACTAACTACCATCATGTTGATGTAGATGAGACATGTCATGAGCTCATTCACGGCGCCATGTGTTTCGCAGATGTTGATGCATGTGTTGGTTGCGTGCATTACGTCTTCAATGAATTCTTCTCTGTTCATTTGCTTGCCGTCTTCTAGCGTGAACAGAGGATCATTGGGTGATGTGTATTGGGCATTAGAACCGGCGATCGCCAGGATCAAGCCCAATACGTCCCATCTCAAGTTCTTCCCTGTGAAGAGCGTGTGAAATTCCGACGGCCGCATATCCGAAGGGATTTTCATGGGTCGAGCGGAGTTCTTTGTAATTTCCGCGTATAGAGGGTATACCTGACTACCAGCAGCATGGAGCTGTTCTACGTCTTTACGCAGCTGTGGCATTGCAGAGAGGAAAAGTGGACCAACGAGAGCAGGGTCCTTGTGCATAGCAAAGTACATATCAAGAGACCTTTCAAAAAATGAAAAGGGTTGAAGAGTAGACACTATTGTGTCTCCAAGCGAGAATTGGCAGTGTCGATGTCCCATACTTCTACTCGACGCCGAAGGGGTTATACTCAGTCTCTCAGATGGCTGTTCATGCACTGTCTCTGGCAAGGGTTGCTCTTCTGTAAAGACAGCAGCATAGCTCGTGGAACCCAAAAAGAAGTTCCTTGATGGGTCGGGTCCGCTTTGTGTTGTTCTCGTAGCAGATTCTGGAGGGGTAGGCCAAGGGACGAATCCAGCATCGTTCCTCAATGTTGGTGGACTCAGTGTCAGGGGCGTCAGTCTCCCCTGGCTGGACGATGAAGCATGCCCATCTAATCTCCGACGACGTGGTTCTGGCTTCTTGCGTGGAGTACCAGCAGGCTTAGTCATGGGATTCGGATGGTAGAAGCAATGCTCTGTCATCCCACGTGCTTGACACTTTGAGCACGTTGGTGTGGCATGGTCGCACTTGATTTTCGAAATGCGACATGGTTCGCATGACCTGTGAGTGAAGCATTAGTTCCCATCCACAACGCATCTCATCTCAATTGCGACAGTCGGAATGACTAACCTTAGCTTCCCGTTCCTCCGCAGCATAACGGCTGATTCTCCGGACATTCGGGTGTTGTAAGTGACAATGTGGAGAAGCCTACTTTGCACACAAAACTTACGTATCACTTAACATTCAACGTACGTTCATGGAGTTCGATAGATTATTCCGGCAGCAGCTTTCCATCGTAAAAGCAAAATGGGGGCTGTGCCAGGTTTAGATGGTGGGGCACTAGCGGCTGTCAACTTCTTTGCCATTGGCTCATGATATCGAAGAGAGGACGCCTAAGCAACGATCTGCGGACCCCTTCCCAATGGAGCTCGACGCGGAGTAAAAGCCCGTCACACGGAGTATCGGACTGAATCAACTAAGTTCCATTTTCCTAAGTCTTCATACTCACAACATGTCCTGGAGGTATTGGCATATTTTCGTCTTAGCAGAATAGCGAAGCACAAACCAATGCAGGCCTCCACCTTTCGTGTTTGATATAAGTCGTAGATAAAAGTCTGCTTTATGATTTCAGGTGCGAGATTGACATCCATAGAGCGAACGCTCGTTACGATAGTACAATGAAATGCGCAATACGCAAGCGATATACATTTATAATGATTGGTGTGGTAAGACTGTTGTCCGCCGGGTGTATTGGGAGGGCTTGCTCGCAGAAACGCAGTGGCTCAGTGGAAAAATCAGGCCACAGCTCACTCCTTCCAGAACTACAAAACACGACAGCATGACTCAACCCAAACGTACAGGCGGCTTCCGTTTTCTGCTTTTCTTCTCGTTAAATGCGACGGATGTATCCACGAGATATCATTCCTATAGAAAGATTTAGAAGTTACGAGCTCCTCCGCAAACTGGAAGCGATGACTGGATCGAGCGTTGAGTCTATACACTGAGATAGACTGGAGTAGAGCCGGATCCAGCTAAAAAGGACCAATCTAATTCCGCGCTGTTAGCTATAAGATACAGCCTTCCTGACGCCTGCTGCCTCGTCTTTCGGGCCCAACGTATCGCATTGATGATGCGACACTTGGTTATCACGAACTAAAGGATGCTATCCTAAGACTGCTTCTCGGCAACTGCTTAAAACTCTCTTCTTCAACTACGACTTTCGTAGTGACGCGGATTGCCGGCACATGCTCGCTTTCACCAAGATTGACCATCGGGTATAGTTCTTCCTGGCTCCCTGTTCTTGCGTCGTCTTCTTCTGCATGAGTACTGATTTGCTGCCATTCGTTACACGGATAGTATTGCCCAAAGAGCGACCCTTTGAACCTACGATAGGGATACCGAAATTGTATCCTGCCGTGCTACTCTGATGCGCTTTGGATATCTTCGCGCGGTAAAAGGCGTACATACCAGGCATGTTCGCGGTGATAATTGCCACGGCGAACTCGATCGACGTAACAATAGTGACGGAGCCGAAAATGTAGGACGTGTCCTTTGTGTTCGCTAGCTGCCAGAGGACAATGAAGCGAAGAAGAGAAACCATAACTGTGCAGCCTCCGCAAGTAAAGACGCAGATCAACCCGATTTGGCGGCGGACTGGAGTTTGCACAGTCCAAAGTGGGTAAATGGGAAGGAGATAGATGACTACGTCCATGAAGACGTTCTGAGTAGAATTAGTGCCGAAACTTTGAACAGAATACCAGCAACTTACGGCAACAGAAGGTAGGTAGTATGACAGACTAGAGGAAATGCACTTAGCATTTGGGTAGAGTTCTGAGTGGAAATAGGCCTGTATGGGAATGCATTGCAAGGCGTAAAAGACCCATGTACCAGCTATCTGCAAGCAGACCAGAGCCATAGTGATGACTACTGCGAGCTTGAAACCAGGCTCGACTTCTAAGGTACGGCGGTAAAAAAAGAGAAAGGACATCTTGATGAAGAACTGTAGGAGTAGGTAGTAGAATTCTTCTGCGAATAGATACTGTGTCGATACTCAGCAATTGAATCGATTAGGAGGCTTGTCTTCACTGCGTTTCTAGGTATACTGTATTCTAAAGATATTGCGTAATGTTTATGGTCACATAAACTCCCCCAACGCCTTTAGGGTCTACAGTCAACATGTCTCAGGGATTACGAGCTTCGTATGCAACTGAACTGGCTATTACGTACCACACTGATCTTCTTGAGATCTTCCGTCTTGACGCGAGGGTCGGTAATGTGCCTTGAGTAGTATGAGATCGCGTCCGTGGAAGCTAGTGTCACGCTTACAGGCCTCCACCTAGTATGGTTCACATCCAGGCGATGTATTGTTGACCGATGAATAAGATCTAAGACTGAGTTAGTAAACGTCCGTCGTGCAGCCAGAGCATGCTCAAAATTTACCGTTCCAGCCAGTATGAACCAATCGTCTGTGCCAAAAGGAACCCGGATGAAAGCTCGGGTATAGAGTCGAATAGCAGATGACGCGAGGCATATCACAAAAAATGGAATGGTAGTGATCCACACGATGGGCTGAATATTCTCAAATACCACCAGATTGACATCATCTCCGGCTCTCTTGATAAGGTCCATGATTGGCATCTGGAAAAACGCGAAAGATTCCGACGGACGAGCGACTTCTCTCCCAAAAGATAACCAAGTGCGACGGGTTGAGGAATTCGAAGTGGAGGGAGGCTGTCTCACAGGATACAATGCAAGGACGTGAAATCCATAACGCTATATGCAACCAAGGAATCATCTGATTTTTACATGCCCACCGTGATGAGGCGTGGTTGCCACGAGGGCTCGTTGTGACCCTGACTGTAAATCGATTTTCGTGCTAATTTCCCTACAAAAGATTCGTGCAGGGGGTGCCAGCAACCGACAGTAGCGACATTCAATCGTGTTAGCAGAATCCTATCGGACGCAGATGTGCGGCGCAGGTACATACGGCGTACGACAGGCCGTGCAACGTATGTAAGGGCGCGTGGAGCATGTAACAGTATACGGTCTAGGGGCGTAGTGATGTCCGGCAACAGTTCTATGGCGTTGGTGTCAAATCGACTGGTGTTCAAGATTTTTCTGTATTATAACATAAGCAATTGGACGAAATATGACTAGACTGAAGTTGATAGATAGCGCGGCAAGATATCTCACAGAACCCAAGGCTGGACGTTGAGGAAGTCTGCATGCGATGAGGCTCGCTCTGAATCAAGCTCGTCTGGCAGCCGTTCCCGCTTGCCGCGCCTACATTCAGCACGCGGTTCCTATTCGACGCGAAGGTATGGCGAACGAGTCAGTAATAGTGCTTTGCCAAATGTAGGAACTCGCACCGACGTAGTGCCCTACCGACGCTGCACAATTGATGACCTTGACAATGCAGGGCATGCGGCGTTGAGGTCTTGACATAGTGGCCTGGTGAAATCCTTCAGTCCTGGCGGTTGAGTTTTAAGTAAAACTCATCTACCTCTCGTTTGTTGCAAGGTCTGTAGCTGCCCTGCTCCAATTCAGTTTCATCTCAGCTAGTCACCATGTCTACGAAAGAAATTCGAATCCGCCCAACAGGCTGGGAGAACGCTCCCACAGAAGAGCGGTTCGTGCTCTCTGATATGGATCACACGATGCCGAAGATCTATGTCCAGATAGTAGAGATATTTAGGCTCACACAACCCGTATACAAGGCTGAGATTGTGGACAGCATGGCCGAGGGTCTGGAATTTACCTTGAGTCAGTTCCCCATCCTTGCTGGCGGCTTGAAGATGGATGCGGAGAACGGTCGATTATGGGTGACGAAAAAGAAGGATGGTGAGGCTAGTCTGTTCGTGCAGGACTTGGAAGAGACTTTCCCGTCGTTCGATGAGCTGGATAGGACCGATTTTCCCGCCGCAGCTTTCAAAGGGCACATGTTCTTGCCAAAAGCGGTGACAGAGAAACAGCTATTCTCGCCTCTTGGGGATAACCAGAAAGACGATCTCATTATATCGACATTCCAGATCAACTTCATCAAAGGCGGTCTTGTACTTGGTATTGCTATCCACCATAATTGTTCTGATGGCCCAGGATGCGACGGGTTTCTCACCACTTGGGCGAGGAATTCCAAAGCAGTGATCAATGGAACTGCCTTCGAACTAGTTCCTCAAGGTACGATGGATCGATCGCGTCTCAGTGCGAAGAAACCGGAAGCTGCGCGGTGGAAAGAACTTGACCGCAAGTTTCCTGTGCTCAAGGTTGGCGGTGGACCCCCTCCACCACCACCGGCTGATTTTAAGATGCCAGAATTGGCTATCCGGATGTGGCATTTCCCTAAGAGTAAGACGGAGCAATTCAAATCTCAAGCGATGGCGAAGACAGGAGAAAGTTGGATCTCGACCTACGATGCAATCATGTCGATTCTCTGGAAGAGCATTACACGATCCAATCTCGACCTTCTGCACCCTGACCTTGCCAAGGAGGTCATACTGGTACACGCGGTAAATACACGAAAGATACTAGACCCGCCTTTGCAAGAGACAATGATGGGCAACGCAGTCGCGCTTCCCCGCACGGAGCCAATAAAGATCGCTGAACTCATCGCCGAAAACAATCTTCCGGAGATTGCGCAAAGAGTGCGAAACTCGATCAAGACCATCACTCCACAGTACGTCGCTGAGCTACCTGAGTGGATCGCAGGACTAGACGACAGACGATGGATAAGCATAAATATGAGCTCGTTCCTGGGTATGGACTTGGCGGGCACGAGCTGGCAAGGTATGAATGTATACCAAAGACACGACTTCGGTTTTGGTGTTGCGAAAGCCATCCGTTTTCCGGATCCTCAGTTCGAAGGCTATGTTTTTGTATATCCAAGCAGGGCGGATGTCAAGGACAATGCCGTCGACGAAGGTATTGAGGTATGTGTGTGCTTGGAAAAAGGATGCCATGATCGATTGATGAAGGACACGGAGTTGCTCAGATATGCACAGCCTCGTGGTAACTAGACAGGAATCGTTTTGGTAGTATTACAAAGTTCCTAGTATGGCAGTCCACGAGGGCAGAGTACCTTCATGTTTGCTCCAAGTCGTAGTACTCCGTAGCGAAAGGCGGTTCCGAACCAACAATCTCCACATCTGTGCCAGCTGCTCTCTCATTCATTGGACCAGGACCAGCCGTGTTCCTGCCTCCAGGATGTCACAGCATGCGATGCGATTTAGCCCTCTGAAGACACTCACCAGCATCTCATCGATAATCGTGGGGCATACGTGAGGCAATAATTGAACGTGATGCCGATCGCTGCCCGGTTACTCTCACGTTATTAAGTATGTGTTGCACCTTCTCCCTGCCTACAGGGATTCTATGAGGTCCAATTGTAAAATGACGATATTGTTAGGGTTTCCTGTGGCGCAGTCCACTTTTGACGCTAATTGTTCGTGGTAGAAGCCGTCATGCGAAGATCATGTTCCGCATCGGTACTACCCACTGTCTAAGCTCGTTTAGGCATAGACCCGATTGGAGGATGTGATCTCGAGTGCCCTCTCAGATAGCTCTACGAGCCCACGCAAAGCGACAGGCCTACATATATCCATGGCACTTCTGGTGCATCTTCTTTCGTTGCAAGATTGTGAGAACCCAACAGTCGCATCTCTGAAATTTTGTTCGGATATACGAGTCAAGCACGTCGAGCAATACATCATGCGCGGCAGCCGCTTCGTGGTTCGGCTTACCTTACCTTCCACCAGTGTGCGCTGGCAGTCGACAGGCCATCTTACACAGAGCGCTCACTCACATCCCATCGATGCGCGCATCCGGATAGAAACAATGGTATGACATATTACCGGAGTAGAACAATTGGACTGGGTTCCCGTACGTGTGTCATCCCCCGCAGCATGAGCTGGCAGCTTGTCAACCGGTGAGCACTGCAGAGCCGCACTAGGTCGTAATTCGCAGTTGCTCGACCAGCCATCACCTTCAGTACGACCTTCATTCGTTCCACCAAGGCTGAATTTGATGAGGTATGGCTTAGCGAACAAGGCGCAGGCTGTGCAGTGCATTGCATAAACCTATGCCTGAGGCACGTTGAGGCGGCTGGGGACAACCTCATGTGTTTCAGAATTCGGCTCACAGAACGAGCGAAAATCGCGACTCAAAAGCGCAAAATTGGACGTGACCAGCCACTTTCGCGATCCTATTTCAGTTTCAAACAGCCGGTGATTTGCAGCGCAGCGCGGAGACAGCACGAACGTTGGTTGCGGTTTGGTGCGATCTAAAAGCTGTGCGGATGCATGCAGCTAAGCCAATAGCTTGCATTTGCCGGTTGTCCTTCACCGGTCCTCGCGGGGCAGCGTAAGATGGGCTCGAATGCCGCCAGACTAATCGCCATCTGAACCTCTGACAATCAGCTGCTCTGAGACAGATTCTTCTTGCGCGTCCTCCTCGAGTCGCGGTGGACGTCCCTCATTCTGGTCGGACCTGTCCCGCGTGTCGTTCCCTATTGCGCATCGCTGTTCTGCGCGGGTACGAGCCGTTTGCCTTCCCGTCTCAAGATCTTCAGTCCGTGTGTCGAGCACTGGGACATCAACCCACACAGGATTCTCACAGCCGTTTGATGCGCAAGGTCTAGGAAGAACCTAACATCTATCCGGCCCCCAGCGGCCACTTGCGCATCATGTCGACATACTCGCAGCACTACCACCCGTACCAGGAACAACCGGTTTTCATCGATCCGCATGCATTCGGATATGGTCAATATGATAACCGACGGTCGAAAACACCAACAGATTCCCTGATCAACCATACTGGGCATTCCCCCGGCCCACTTGCGACCCCACCACTTGCGAGCCGCAATCTATCGCAACAGCTGGAACTACCTCAAGATCAACCGCCCGAGTATATGCAATGGGAGAATGATAGTTCTTCGACCTCACCTACATCCGTAAGGACACCCGACGGCTCATCCTTTGAGGGGGAAATGACTGATTTCTCGCCCACTTACCACCACAACGGCAACACCATGTCAACCCAAAGCTCATATCACTCTGTACCGGCGGTGGACTCCAGCATGATACTCAGTGACCAAGGTTAGTTGTCTTGAGCCAGCTCGTACATATCTGCTGACGCCTTCACAGCGGTACAAGCGGCCTTCAACGCTACAATGGCTGAGGCTCAACAATATCAGCAACAGTATGCTATGCAAACTCAACATTCGCACCACACTTCACCACTACATCCTCAGACAAACATGTTCAACCAGAACTATACTACTCAGCCACCTCGTCATGACCCTTGGAACGGACAAGCACCTTCGCGTTCTTCGATGGTCCCTCGATCCGGTCATGTCGTTTTCGACCCTGCGAGCGATCATATCAATTATTCAGATTACTTGATTGATGTGGACTCATGGGCAGCTCAATACACCGATCCTTCCTCCCTGATTTCGCCCAGCGAGCCTACTACATCATTCCAAGGGGACCTGTACTTCCCGCAAGGGCAGAATCATCCTCATCACTCATACGACCATGTACCAAGGACGCAACTACCGACTCATCAATCGATTGAGATGCAATTAACGCGGGCATCACCACCACCTGACCAACAGAACTTCGTCAATTACAACGCATCATCTAGTCTTTTTACAGATAGTTACATCACTAGCAACCAGTTCCCTGCCCCACCGTCGACAGCATCGTCAACCGGTTACCCTCCAAGGTCCCCATACCAGCCAGAGATTAGCCCTTCTGCACCCAGTCCAGGAAGCTCCGACGGCATGTACTCCTCGTACCAGCATTCTGACCCTGGAATGATGTTCGACCAGTATCAGCCTCCGCCATACGCTCATATGCAACAACTGCCGCAGATACAACAAGCCCAACAACCTCCTATCAAAGTCGATTACTCCATCGTGAGCGGTATGCCAGAGACAAGCTTTGATGCATCTCCTGAGCCAGAATCGTCCCAGAGTGCAGCACAAAAAGCATTAGCGGCGAAGTCTGGGGGCAGAGCGTTGGGCACCCATCTCGAGCCAACTGTTGCCAAAGCAGCGCATGACATGCGCAAGATCGTTGCATGCTGGCACTGCGTGTTGCAGAGAGATAAATGTGGGCCAGGCGATATATGCGAGCGCTGTTTCAAGCGGTCACAGCGACCGAATGCCGATTGCGGCCTCGGATGCAACCGGTTGAAGCTGATCGACTTGTCGCCGTACTTTCTACCTTCTCTAGTCACACAGATGCATGAGGACGCGAACTTGACGCACTTTGTCACTCAGTACATCCAGCAATGGGGGAGCGTCGAACTAACCGTGATGATGACATGTGGTCAGGACAGCATGCCTCGGATACCAGTGAAAGTGTACGAGTTTATACCCCGTGGAGATGCCCTATTGGTACAGATCCAATACAAGACTGATCCTGTCACGCACACAAGAGTCGCAATCCAGAAGCAAAGCCCAGCCTTGGGCATGGTACATATCAACCACAACGAAGAGAAGAAGTACGACCGATACATCACCGAAATTGTCGACCACCACCTTGATGCCTTTGGCGAACTCTGTTGGATGGAAGACGACAACGACTTCCAGCAGAAACTCTTCAAGTTGATGACGCGCGTAAAACCCAAGTCGGACGACGAAGCAAAGCTACTGCGCGAGATCTTCCGCCTCATCGTAGTAACGTTCATCATGTCGCATACGCTCACTATCGCCGAGGAAACGAAAGTCGATACACTATCGCGTATGCACTCGTACAGCGGCCACAACTCCTACGTCGAAAACTATACATCGCCGCGCATGACCAACCGGCAACTCAAATACTTCTTTTCGCGCCTTCAACGGTCGATCCAAACCACTGTTCTCAATAAACTTCAACAGATCTTCAAATCTTCCAAAGGTTGTGACAAATGGCTTGCGGCGTTTATTGCAGTGTTAGGAATGTGCATGGCACTTGAAGACCAGCAAAAGACCATACATCTTGTCATGTCTACCAAGGCTGCCACAGAGGGCCTAGATCAAAGGGATGCGCAGAGCCAGGCGGATATCGCGTGCCGTGAGATCGATAAACGGATGCATTTTGTGCAGCAAATATTCCGATGGAAGTACAATCGCAAGCATAATCCTATGCGTGATGCAGATCACGACTGGGAAAAAGAGGTGGGCTTTGGGGATGCAAACAGTGTGAACTTTGTGAGGCAGGTTGCGCAGTTAGTGAAGGAGAATAGTGAGTACACCGAATGCCGCTCCGGCATGGGCATGCCGACTGAATATGTTGCTAATGAGAATTCAGTTGATTTCCTGCAACAACGCCAGGCGGTTAGCATCTCGAGTGATAACCAGACGAAGTATACTTCACGCCTTGTGGGACAGTTCTTGCTTTCCTTCTGGCTTCCCAGCGTATAGGTCGCTTTGGTTGATTGAAAGGCTTAACGTCCTTCTCGAGTCCGCCACCGAGCACTGCGGGCGTTTGCAGTATCCATTTGAGGATGTCCTTTCGACGCGATCTTCGCAATCTTTGTGTGATAGTCCTTTACACCTTTTCTTTTGTCGCGTTCGAGCCTTCACGGTCAGACTCACGCTCACCCTTCACTACTTCGCGCCATACAAAATACGTTGGATGAATTTTTCTGGTCTACGACTTTACGAACTTCACCGCATTCACGCTTCTACGGGAAACCGATCCATTCTTATACCCTTCGGTTTCGTCACGCAATGTCACATTCTTTTCTTGGAGATCTGGAGGCCCGCGTCGTTGTTTGTAGCAGCAGCAACAGCAGCATATATCATGAATAGTCTAATGATGTTACACTTTTGCATGCCATTTCTTGTTAAAGCTATATGTTGTGATATGCAGCGAATTACGATTGCGTTATTCCTCTTTTGCAACTGCCTTCGCGCTCGGGTATACTGATCACGAATATTGTCACCTGCTCGCCTTATGATATGAAGGAGACTTCTAGCCAGGGCAAGCCAGCACTCAAATTAAATAGCTCCATTCAGATGCCAAGTCAAGGCCATTTCCAGAACACGGACAATGTTAAGGAATCTACTCCCGTCCCGACATTCCAGGCGGAAGAGATCCGAATGGCCTTTGCGCATCAACCGTACCTGCCGTATGCCCTGCAGTTACCAAGATCTACTTCTAACGACCCGCAACGGCAGTGGCGCAATTGCGATCGCCGATTAAGTTCTGTCTGCATTTCTAGACCTACACTAAGATAACGCATTTCCGCATGTGTGCGTTGTCGCGAGCGCGAAAGCGAGTAGACTCAAGCCTCCAATTTCATCATTTCGTGCTAATGGTAAGCTTTGGTATGTCCCGAAAGTCTGGAAAGTGGAGGCGGATGGACGTGTGGCGAACTAGGGTAATGTTGCTTGATGCAGGGTAATAAGTTTAAGCTAGGGACGCCTGGATGGACGCCTGGAATGAGGAGGTATTCGGGCCGAGGAATGCTTGATTGTTATGAGGTGGTGTGTAGAAGAGGGGTATGTGACGGATGGATGCAGTGGTCTGTGAAGATTGGAGAAGATGGAGATCAAGTTTGATTGTATGTGTATTCGTGTATTGAAGGAATGATATATAGGAATGAAGTCTCGGTCAAAACAAATGAAAAATACGCTACCGATTAGGTAGTTGAACGCGCGCTCCAATTCCTCCCAGTGTCATGAGTAACAGAAGAGAGGAAATGCTAAACGACAGGTGGTATACCGACAACTCCGTGGCAAAAATGCACAAGCAGATCAAACGTCCCAGCCAACATTACTTCCATTACCGACAAACGAAACGCAATCAGGGCATGAACTTCCGATCATACATGCAGTAGCTCACTTGAAGCTTGACTACAGTCGTCTGGAACTTCATCCTCGTCATCACTACTCTTCATCTCACCTTTCTCAAGTTCTATGCTCATCCAGCGCCAGTCTGAGATAGAGAAACTCTTCTTGTTACTATTGCGGCCAGTCAGCACTCTGCTTGCCGCAAAGTAACAAGAGAAGAAAGCAGTGGTGGATTACCTACTACCTGGCCTTTGAAACATTGGCCTTGGGAGGGGTGGTTGCATTCGGAAAAAGAAGTGCAAGGCCCTCTTCCCAGCCCCTCTCGGTAACAATGTCGATGACAGCCCGGCCGGCTTCGTCCTGCAATTGGAGGTCAGGCGCGCCACCCATGTCGATGAGAAGCTTGAGGATCTCGGCGTCTCCATTCTCTACAGCTTGCAAAATCGCGTTCCAGCCGCGGTGCATCTTGTTGATATCAGCGCCGCGTGTAAGCAGCATCTGAATGATTTCTGTGTCGCCGGAGTAGCGGCGAAGGGCCTTAACGATCGGAAGATGCTCGCCGGGAGCGTTGGGGTCGGCGTTGGCTACATCGAGGAGGTAGCGGACAATGACCTTACGCTCCTCGCGGATGGCTGTTGTGAGTGGAGAGAAGACACCACAGTTCTTGTCTTCGACGCTGACGCCAGCTGCAAGGAGAAGCTTGATGCTTTCAAGTTGGTTGGCTACTACAGCCATCTCGACGACACCACGGAAAGCGCGCGGGTTGGGAGTTGCAGCGAGGAGCTTCTTGAGGATGGCGGGACGCTTGACGGCCATGCACAGAGGCCAGTCCTTTCCACGGATAGCTGGGTCCGCGCCACGAGAAAGGAGGATATCGACGAGCTCGCCATGGTCGTCGTTGATAGCAGTGGTGAGCGGTGTGCATCCGTCCGGTGTTCGGTCGTTGGGATTGACGCCTTGGTCGAGCAGGTAGATCATCGCGTCCTTGTCGTTGAACTTGACAGCGGTTTCGATGATACCTTTAGGCTTGTTAAGGTCTGCACCAGCTGCAACCAATTGCGGTAGGAAATGTGTGCGCTTGTGTGTAATACTCTTGAAAGCTGGGTATTCCGCTGCGTTGAAGTTTGGGTCTGCACCATGCTCTAGCAGATACGTGACAATCTCGGGGCTGTTATCACGAATGGCCGAGCAAAGTGGTGTGTAAACGCCATCTTTTCGGACGTTAGGAGATACACCAGCTTCCATGAGGATCTTGATGGAGTCCAGCTTCTTCAAACTAGAAGCCAATTCCATGACACCGGGCGTCTTCTTGGTGTCAGCACCGCGAGATAGCAGCAACTGAAGGCACTTAGGCTTGTACGTAGATGGCCAGAGTGGATGCTTAGGACCCGGAAGGTTGGGATTCGCTCCGTGGTCGAGCAACACCGTCATGAGATCTACACGGTTCGCCTGGATAGCCTGGAATAAAGCAGTTGTGCCTTCTCCATTCTTCGCATTGGCATCACCGTCCTTGCTCAAGAGTATCTCGACACACTTGGGTGAGGTGGTCTTGTTCATAGCTGAGACGAGTGCTGTAGAACCATTCTCCATGACGAAACCAGGATCGCCACCGTTGGCGAGGTATAGCTGGACGAATTCAATAGCATTCTGAGACGCAGCCAGTGCTAGAGGTGACTCGGAATCGGGGCCGGCAGACAGATTAGGATCTGCGCCGTGCTTGAGAAGTATCTTTGCACTTTCAAGGCACTGAGAACGAGTTGTCGCAAACAGGGGAGTAATACCCTCACGGTCGAAACCATTGGCATCTGCGCCATATCGAAGAAGTAGCATGATACTTTCTGCGTCCTGATTCTGTGCAGCGACGCGAAGCATCGCGGACTCCATGTGAGGTTCAGCCTTAGCTCCGCCGTCTAGAAGCTGCTCTAGCATGCGATGTCTCCTCTGCTCAACAGCATTGAATAGTGCTGCCTTGCCACCAACATTCTTTGAGCCGCCACTCTGGCGAGGTGCCCAGTGCGGTGATGTGATGGCAGAGTCGACTTTAGACGAAGAGTGATGGTCGTCCATATAGCGCTCGCTGACGCTGAGACCATGTAGTTTTTCTTCCATTGTGGGTGACCGAGTGCTGGAGTGCGAAGCAAAGTCCTCGTACACAGGATCCTCATGCCGAATATTCTGATGGTACATTGTATCTCTTGTTGATTCGCTTGAACGCGCACTGGCTGGCGCGCGCCAGTTTTTGTGTAGATCTACGATTCCGGCTGATAGACCAGTATCCTCATGTCTGAAATGTGAACTGTGACTGTCATATGAGTGACCCTCCTCATGGCGAAGTTCATTCAGAGATGGTCTGTCCATACGGTGCGAAGCATGTGAAGGTGGCAAGAGTGGGTGATCTCCATGATGGCTTGGAGCCTTCGTTGGAGGTGTTGGTGGAAGATCAGATGTCGGCGCTGGGTGTAGAGGCGGAAGGCTGGAGGCTTTGCTTGGGTTCAACCGCTCCAATGCAGCAATCAGTCCGGCGTATCCAATACCCATGGAGGCATCAGCTCGTGCATCGCCAAGTGTCCACCTGAACATGGCAGAGCTGACTTTGAGGGAGTCACGGCTCCGTGAAAGTGTGTGGCGCATCTTTTCAACGTCTGTGTCGGCGAACATCATTCGGAACTTCATACCGAATCCGCCTTTGTGGTTCTCTTTGTCGACAACTAATGCCGTCAGCAATAATTCACCGTAATTGTTTGAAGATTCAAGTTCACAAATGAAGAAGTCATAAACCAGACAAACTTACATTTGTTAACCATCTGAGCCAGAACAGAGAACTCTTCATTAACCTGACGGACCCTCCTGTCAAGTTCTTGAGATACTTCGACTGGGAATCCACTCCGTGTCTTGGACGCTTCCGTAACTCCGGCTTCGATGGACCATAATACTTGGCAGAGCTCAATGAACTCTCTGGCGAGTGGCTCGAAGCCATGAATAGGTGTCTTTGCAGTGCTCAGGTATTCAAGCATGCGGATGGCAATGGTGTTGCCCTGTGCATTGACCCGCTTGCACAGATCAACCGACGTCTCTTTTGCTGGAGCCATAACGAAGATGGTAAAAATGAACGAATGCTGGGGAAATCAAAGAGACGAGCAAGCGGGTCAATGAGGCTTCTTTACAATGTACTCGAGGGCCCTGACTAAGAACTATCTCTGGCCCACTGCAAATACCGTGGTAAGCCAGGCCGTCCGCCTGCTCTAGCCCGCATGAGCATCGAGTCAAGGAGGCGCGGCCAGGGCGAATCGCGTCGTGTCATAGCTCTAAGTTTGTAGCGGAGGCTCTAAAGGCCCGGAATAAGGTTTGGGTTATCGCCTTCGCCGGGGTTAGTGCCAAGATTTGTATGGCAACGCCCTAGGTTGTCCTAGGGTTATCCTAGATGACACCTGCCATTCCACGTGAAAATGCGCGTGCATAAGGGGAAAACATACGGTCGGTGCTGTGGGCCGCAGCCCATATTCGGGAACATGTCGAGCGCCATACAGTTTAGCAAACTGTAGCACCAGTGAATATCATTTTCCATTGCCGGCAGCTCCCTTCTAGCTGATAGTTGTGACTACAGCCTGCAGATTGTGCCTGCTGGC